CGTCACAAGTTTGACATGCCTGTTCTAGTCCAACCTTCTGCTCAAGATAGATTTTATACCATTTCAGTCAAATAGTTGTTCACTCTGTTTTTGAAAATCTCTAGTGAGGAAGCACCAACTTTGGGAGACAAGCTATTCTATTCATTAATTGTTCTCACTGTCGAAAATTGCTCCTTAATTCTAGGTTAGATTTCTCTTTAACAAGCTTCCACCCATTGCTTCTTGTCAACCCCTCTGGTTCTTTAGAGCAGAGGTCCCCAACCCCCAGTCTGTGGACCGGTACCAGGCTGCAACATGCCAGCAACCAGTCCGCACAAACAAGCAAAGCCCCATCTGTGGGATACAGGCAGCACACAAAACCACGCACTCTCCAGTCCACAGAAAAACCTTTCTCTACGGAACCAGTCCCTGGTGCCCAAAAGGCTTTAGAGAATAAGTCAATCCCCTCTTTTCTGCAATAGCCCAAGTATTGGAAGACAGTTATCATGTCTCGCCTAATCCTTCTCTTTGATAGGCTAAACACATCTAGCTCCAAACCTTTTATCATTTTTGTTGCTCTTCTCTTCAGTTTCTAGGTCTCAGCAACTTGAGATAGCCCACAGATGCTTCTCTCCATGTATGTGTAGTTCCATTGAGCACTACCCACTGAGTGTGGTTGGTCAGCCAATTGCAAATTTATCTGGTAGTGATACTATTTATCAAGAAATAAGCTGTGGTCTACTTTGTCAACTACTTTTCTGAAGTCCAAGAATACTATGTCCACACATTTTTCTGGTCCACTAATTTAATCACTTTATCAAAGAAGGATATAAAGTTTATTTGGCATGATTTGTTTTTAACAAACCCATGCTGGCTTCTAGTAATCACCTTGTTCATTTATAAATACTTACAAATCCTCCATGGGAAAGCAATTATTTTTATAATATTCTGAGAAGTGATAGGCCACAAATCTCCAAGAATTATTGAAAAAAAAGACATTGACTAATTCATTAGCTTTATGGATTAGGCTCCTTGGTCAGTTTCACAATGCTGATACATGCATGTACACACACATATATGACATGCATTTTTCAGAAAAAGGCCTAGCTGTTATTAACAAAGGGTTTGAATTTTCACATTAAGAAATATATCTGGGATTGCAGTCTTGGTAGTTAACAACTTATTCATTGTTGCAAAGCACAGAGAGGAACCAGGAATAGAATCATGCCACAAAGCCAGGTTGCTAATATATGTATATATCTATGGAAGAGAAAGCTTAAGATGTAGCTTTTAGCAAACATGCCTTCTAAACAATACAGTGTATAACACCTGTTGAATTCTAGATAATTATTAACCAACTTGATTTCACCTATCTCAAAATCTGCTCAAAAACCAATAGTAATATTTCTATTTAATATTTTTTTCTTATTTACCTGTAATCAGGGCCCATGCCACTATATACCAAGCCTATGTGTTTAGTAATAGGTTCCACTTTGTGTACACTCCGTTCATCATACAATATAGATTTCTGCTTTTTCTCTGTTGCTAGTACCACACCATTTGCAGCTACGTAAAAAAAAGAATGCACTAAATTAATGCTATTAGAAAATCTTCCTCCTGCTTCCCCTGCAACATTTCAAATATTCACTACATAAATTAATAAACTGATCAATTAATTTTCTTATGTAACATACTGTAGACATTTTATCAGGTGTTTTCTATAACCATTCAACGAATGCCATTTCAGTAGATTATATCAAAAGAAAAAAATGCCAATCATAAATATTGTTTCATCTTTCCCCCCCACCCCCAGTCAAATTGCAGTGTCAGATCCCTTTAATAAGGCTCAGTGTAAAATGACTCATCAAATTTTCATGTGTGTTGTAGTTGCTGCTTCTATGTCTTTACAATTCTTTTTTTCTTTAATAAATATATCTTACAATTCCTGGATCATCCAGTGTCTAAACACTACACTATCCTTGTTTTGAATTATGCTTTATCAGATTATAAATCTGTTCATTTTATAAAAATAAAATATTTAATACAAAGAAATGTAATTTATCTTATATAAGATTAGGTAATTTTCCAACTGAAATGTGGAATATACTTTAAATAAACCATAGAATTTATCCTGAATTAACAAAGTAATACTGTTTAATTTCCTTATAAATGTTTATTTAAAAACAAATGTTCAGTTAAATAATCAACCACTTTCTGACTTGCTTTAAATAATACATATTTTAAAATTCTGAAAATACCCTTTATATCTGCGCAATAATACAGACATAATGCCCTCCTAAAATATAGCGGCTACTCTCTCATAAAAGAATAAAATGCTTCATGTTAGAAACTTGAATAGTATGCATGAATCATCAAAATTTTAATTGTGCTTGATTGGGCCAAACATTTTTTTTAGCAATCTGTTCTCACAAGGCCACGTAAAAGCTAGGCAGACAATACATTTTTATCACTTTTTCTTACTTCATATCTCAAATAAGGACATGAGAATATTTATGCTAAAAAAGTTGGTAAATGTTATTAATTATATAAGTATCTTTAATACCTTTAATTCCAACTGATGGAGCTCCTGCTGCAACAGCTGCCAAAGCATATTCAATTTGAACAAGTTTTCCAGAAGGGCTGAAAAAAATATATAATACATTTATGAGACATTTATGGAGAAAATATTTTCCAACAAGAAACACAATTTGATTTTTTAAACAAAAGCATATTGAGCACATTGCATATTAGAATATGTACAAGAAATTAAAACTTATCTTCCTCAAAATACTTGTCTAGAGCTAAAATGTTAGACAATTTTCCCAAACAAATTAATGAATTCAGTATAATTTAATCTGGAGCAAATTCACACACAGTAATGTTCAGGAAAAATCACAGTGGAAGTTTTAAATAAAACAAGTGGAAGCTTTAAATAAAACATGTTATTTCTTTCTTTTTAATTTCTGGAGAATTCTTTGCAAGGTTCTATGCAACTAACAATTCAAAAGCCTACATATGCTAAAGGCTTTTGAATAAACATATCTTCAGAAAGATAATCTGGAGTAAATGTAATCTCCACTGAATCCCTCACAACATCTAACAATACAATTTTCCATAAAATTTCCCACACATGAAAAGTTAATACAGCCTTATATATGCCAGTTCCAAAAACAAAAAGTAGTATAAAAGCTCAATATAATTTAGTCAAAAACTAAGATCAAAGAATAGAATATCTTTGTCATTATGTAACTCACAACGAAATTAAATGCTGTCCACAGTGCACACTACACACAAGTAAAAACCACAAATAAGAACATATATGGAACAAAAAAAAGTTGCAATTAATAGTAATGGCTGCCCCACAATGAAATATTTAATCTTGTGTATCACCTGTGGTTTTTTTTTTTTTTTTTGAAGGATTGTAATCGAAGTTTACTTAATCTGAAGAACGAACCCTGAATAGTTTTGTGGTGTTTTTCTTTAAAAAAACGAGATAGGACTATTGTTTGACCAGTTTCGTAGATATTTAAAAGTGTAGATTCCTTTTTAGCATTATAGTCTATCATAGAAAAAACATCTGAGAAATTAAATGGCATACAAAACATATAGAATTATAGTATATACAGTCTTTAATTATATGAAACTGAAATGTGTAGCAAAGCACTTTAAGATTATTGTCACAAAATAGTGACAAATTATTCTAACCTCAGTTTAGTCACTTTCACAATTTTAGTACTGTATCAGTAATGTATCATTGTAGCAATATACTAATGAACTGTGCAATCCTTGTTATTGTCAGTTACAAATGAACTTCTAACTTAATTACATCCTGAAAAACTATTCTGTCTGTAATCTTTAACTGGGCAAAATGACATCACAGGACAAAAACTTTTCAACCAAGAAAACTCAAATGGGCTTACTTACAGGGATACATGACTCCCGTAGAATTGAAATTTGGCAATTTTCATAAAAAATTACAATATAAAAATTATTGTAACGTTTTATGACACAATACAAAATGTCATAAAACATTTCCTGTGATCAGCTACTGATGTCTGACTCTGCTATGCAGTTCAACTTGGGCTATTTTCAAGGCAAATACATCTCCGATTATCTCCGTATATTAGAAACTCTATTATTGAAAGCATTGAGGAATCTCATAAGGATTTTCTCAGAAACAATGACCCAAAGGGCTTTTTCACATACTTTTTATAACACTGATTGCATATCTTAGGAAGGAAAAAACGACATTGAATTGTATCGTAATCCAGTTACATTTTCCCTTTTTAAATAGCAGCGCTACTTAATTTGATATATTACCAAACATCAATAATCAATCTGCCGAAATCAAATGCACTCTTGACTGACAGAGAAAAAAGGACGATTTTACCCTAAGACTGATCAAGTCAGTTCAATACTGTTGTACCTTCTTGCCACTTCAACAACTAACGAACAGCAACAGCACTGACTCGACAAAATCTCCCCGTTCTATTATTCCAGAAAGAGCAATCAACCAAGCAAATTGATTTTCTCACTCCTGATGGAGCCCACCAAGGACACTCTGGCCGTGCAAACAGTTCACCTCAAGGTCTCCCTCTCGAGAAAAGAATTTACCTGAAAGTGGTGAGAGAAAAGCTGTAGCCACGTTCCGCCATTTTAACTCGTGCCACAGACTCTCACAGCCGGCTCTGGCTACTGCGGCTGCGTGCGCTGGGAGCTTTACGCGTGCGCAAAGAAGGAAACCCTCCTGGCACGTGATTTCCGCAGCTTTATGACAAATGAAGTTCACCTGATAATTCCCGAAAGCAGCACGTGGCTCTGAATTTCTAGGAAAGCCGTGAATTATAAATTATAAATAAATCTGGGAGATGGGCTACAGGTGCTCTCAGTGGCAGCCTCTTGTGCACTTTGAAAATCAAAAGTCGCACAACGAGAACGGTAGCTCCTCAAAGACGTGTGACAGTCACATGCCAATGTGGGTATTTGACTCCGTTTCCCAGGATTCCTTGCGGTGGCTACCAACACGGATTTCGGAGGAAACCTATGGGCGGAGCCGCGAGGGGTGCCGGGAAAGCGAGGAACATGGCTGCTGTATTGGTGTTCTCATCCCCTTTCCCCAAACTCCGTCGTTTTCTCCGAAACTGCTGGGCGCAGCTTGGCGGCCACGCAGGGCCATGGGGTAAGGTTTGGAATGTGCTGTTCATCAGGATAGCCCTCAAGAACTCTGGAAAATTTCCACGGTCATCTTCCAGCTACGCGTTGGAGGTGCTTGGGTCGCTCAATCCAAGGGGGGAATTGAAAGCTTTTTAGAAAACTGCTTTCTTATGAACTCCGTGCGAATTTGCTAGTCAAAGTAACTTCGGCTTTGGTGCTTGGATCTCCTTTTGTCTGTTTGCTTCCTTGCCTGTTGCTCTTTTTCTGTAATTTCCCAAAGCAAAAAAGCATAGTAGGGATAAAATGCAGGGAGATGATTTCCTTTGCTTTTTGTTTGTAATCTCGCTTTATAGTTTTTTTAAAAAAAACGATTGTTCGTTAAATGGAGGATGGCGTTAAAGCTGAAAGTAGTGCATTCTTATAATATACTCCAAAACTGTTTATATCCCTCGTGCGTTGTTCATAGTTTTAACATGTAGAAACAAAATATTAGAGAAACAATAAAATGTTATGAGAATCGGTATATTGTAGAAGGATGTGAGTTTTAGTCCCACCTTAGGCAGGAAGCCAGCTGAGTGACCTTGGGCAAATCCTCTCAGCCTTAGGAAGCAGGCAAAAACAAGCAGCTTCTGAAATTCTGCCAAGAAACCTGCAAGGAATAGTCCCGACTGTCACCAGGAGTCAAAAACTGACTTGAAGGCATATGCAAAAAGATGAGGAACAAGAGAGATGATTTTTCATTTTTTAAAATTGAATGATATGAAATGCACACATACACACACACACTTTGGATTCTGATCCTGGGCATTCCATCGTATACCTATTTATTCAGAACTAAGTTCACTTGTTTTCAGGGCTGCCTAATTCGTCTTAACTGTTTGAAATTACTATCATAGTCATTAGACCTTATGTTAACATTATATTATGTTAATATAATTATTTTTAATTGTTCAAGAAATATGTTGAAGTTCCCTGCATGAGTCCGAAAGCTTGGAAGACTAAGCCTCTGGTCCTGGTGACCGATCCAGATCAGATGTTGAAGAGTGCTGCTAATTTCAAATGTCGTTGGTTTAAAATCTAAATGCTAGTCAGTTTAGAATGAACCCCCTTAAAAAAGGCTTTAAACTATTTTAAATAGACTAAGATATGAAACTATTTGAGTTGATATCTTTTTCTTTAGCGCCCGCTTTAGCAGTACAAGCTCCAGATTCTTTACTCAATCCTGTGGAAGAGAAAACAGAGTATTTTGAAAACCCCAGCTTTTTAGACAGCATACTTTGGATGCCAGCTCCAAAGTCAAGGCGAACAATTGAAGTGAATCGCACCAGACGAAGGAATTCTAACCATCTTCTAAAAATAAAGGTAAATTATTAAGTTTCCCTGTGCAGAAAATTGGACTTTGTTTAAATGTTTTGTTCTTTGCTATCAATAGGAGTTGGCAAATAAGTTCAGAAATATAAATGAACATTTGTTTCAATGGGTTTGCTGTGAATGTATCGTATAAACCTGGGCAGTTTGTGGCTGCATGAAATCCCTGCCAGCTGCAAATGTAGAACCAAAATTGGTTGCAAAATAGCTGTATTTTAGTGTGGTTTTGCTTTTATTTTGTTTACCTTAATTTCTAACCCCATGGAAAACAAATTGTTCCAGCTAGACAACTATCCATCTAACTACCATGGCAACTATTTTCTGCCTCGTTTCAGGCTGATTTTTAAGTAGGAACAAGAGATTCCTGGGAAATGAATCATTTTATACCCACCCTTGAGGTTCTGTCCTTGGAAAGTTTAAAGGCTGAGACAGAGCAAATTGCCTTTCAGGGGCATCATGCTGCCCTTCATATGCTCTCCCAAAAGTAAATAAATAAATAAATAAATAAATAAATAAATAAATAAAACAGGCTAAAATAAATTTACTCCTACTGCTTGATCAAACAGCCACCTGCAGCCCTGTAGCACGTCAAGGGTCCGAGATCCAGATCCAACCCTTCAAATATTGCCTGTTCCTACTAAAAATTAAAATATTAACTTGCAGACATACTTTGATTTCTACATAGCATTGGACAGTACTATTCTTGTTGCATTGTTTTTATTATTTTGATATGTTGTTTAATCCTATTTTGCACTCCATTTTATTGTTACGTTAATGAAAAAAGTTAAGAATTTTTATAATTATTCTCTGCATTTTAAGATTCCTTTTTTTCTTTTAGAGAAACATAGATATTTGTCCTGAATGTGGCAACCTGAAAGAGAAGCATGTTCTTTGTGGCTATTGTTACGAAAAAGTTAAACAGGAAACTTATGCCATAAGAAATCAAATTAGATTATTGGAAAATGGACCACATAAGGCTCCCATTATAGAAAGTATTGTGCTCTATACAGGAGAAAAACCCAGAAATGAAGATGAAGGCAAGCGAATTATCGAAAGGAACAAGAAACGTCCATCTTGGTTCACATTGGACTAAACAGACATCAAAGTGGAATGGTTGATTCCCTTATACAAATACTAGTTGGATAGTAATACATCCAGAAGACTGTACTGTACTTTATACTGTAGTTGCTCAAGCATGCTATTTGCAGGACTATGTGTGTGAGTGTTTGTACTTTTTTTTAAAGAGTCTGGGTTTTCTTTTGTCCTTTAACATTCATCCAGAATTTAATTCTACATTTGGAATCTGTATGGATAGGGGAATTGGCTGTTAACGTAGTAATACCATAAGCTTATAGTAACCTGTCTTAAATAAGTTATCATTTGCAGAAGTGGGATGTAACTGCATACAAAGATGGATTGTATGTTATTTCAAATTGAATTTAAAATGCATTTGCAATTAAAACATATTCAATTTCATGTGTCCTTTATTATTTCATTTTGCAGGAAATTTTTTGAGAAAGGTAGATGGCTGAGGAATACAGCTAATGGATGGCATCATGCCCAACCTAAATTTGTAGCTATTAACCAAAGTCTTCATTTAGTTTTGACAGCAGTCTCTTGATTGTATAAACTTGTTTGTTTGCTTGTATTAAAATGGCTGTTACTATGGGCACCTAACAACAGATAAGAGTGCTCTACAAAATGGAACCAAAAAGACATAGGTACACACACACACACACACACACACACACACACACACACACACATTACATATATAATATATATAATCTATACTGATCACTGAAGCAAATGGATATTAATTAAAACCAGAGAATCTATCAAAGCACGTATACAATCTAATAGTGATTATTGCTCTCACTTTACAATCTGAAATCCTTATTTCATTCACCAAGACCTGGCTGTCACTAAATGAGGGGATTCCCATTCTCAGAGATGTATCCAGCTGACTATCCCAGATTGTCACAGATCTGACTCAGACAGTGGTCACATACCAGATCTAATGTTGTTATCAAAGAAATGTCAACATGATCTGATAGGGAATGTAACATTATCCCGCTGTCATGGTCAAATCATGCCCTAATACCTCTGAGACCCTTTTTTACCACATCCTTCAGAGAGAGGGGAGGCATTAGAGTGATCATCCCTGGAGCCTCATAGAGCCAAATGGGTTCCAGAAGAAACTGAGGGATATCCTGAAGGATTTATTACATAGCTCTGCCAAAATGTTAGTGAACGCTGAGCCTCTGGACAGGATTGCGCCTATGTAACCTCTCGCAGCCCTTCAGTCCCAAAATTTCACAGAGAAATGGATTAAGAGATGTCCAGAGTGCCGTTGGAGGAAAACGAAGGGTGATTCTGACTGGACACATCTTAGAACTGCTGTTAACGCCTATCTCATGACTAAAATGGTGAAAGAATGCAATTTTTCTGCTCTTATTGCATCCATAGTGTGTCACCCATCAACTCTATTCTGGATCATCCAATCCTTGCTGGCCAGGGAACTTGGATGATTGTCTTCAGGGCTGTGCAGAAGAATTTGTTGAATAAGACTGGATAAGATTTGCTTGGACTCATTCCCAGGTAGAACCTTGTGGGGCCAATCCTGATGAGATCTGTAGGGAGATATCTTGTCCAGAAATTTAGGAACAGTTTGACCCTGCTGGATCTAGGGAAGTGGATAAGCCACCTCTCAATTAGATCCTTATCCCTCTTGGCTGGGGAAAGCCACCAAGATAGTGACTAGCAGGTAGGTTTATGCAGTGATAAATTCCTCACAGCAAGTAATCCCTGCTTTATCCTCTCCTTAAAAAATCATTACAACTTTCATCCAATCTTCCTTCTTTCCTTTTTGACGAAGGTTTGGAAAAGGTGGTTGCTTGGTAGCTCCAGGAGTCCTGGATGAAACATTTCCTGGATCCCTTTCACTCAGGATTCAGATTCGGCTATGGGACAGAGTCTTGATCACACTCGGGACAATCTCTGGCGGGATAGGGGTAATGCAACCATTCTCACTCTTGACCTCTCAAGGGCGTTGGATACCATCAACCATAGTATCCTTTTGAGCCAGCTATGTAAATTGAGGCTGGACTCCTTTCTCCAAGGTCAGTCCCAACTACGTGAAGTGGTTGGATGAGATCATCCGCTACCATGGGTTAAGATATCATCATACTGAGGATAACTCTATATCACTACACTTAAGAGACCCAGGTAATACCATCTCTATCCAGTCACAACGCCTGGAGGCCACAGGGCCTGGGTGAAGAACAATGAGCTACGACAACCCTAGCAAGACTGAGTGGTTTTGTCTGCATGGAGCCTCAATCCCTTTTATCATCCTTAGTTCCGAATGGGATTGCATTACACCATTCAGACCCAGTTTGCAATTTAGGGATTCTGGACTAAAGTTTCCTTCTCAAAAAACAGATTGTGTGACTTGGGGAGCTATTCCATCATCCAGATTTGTGCATCAGCTGCGACTTTTCCTGGATCATGACTCCCTGCATTCAGTTACTCAAGCCGTAATCTCTTATCTGGACTACTGCAATGCACTCTACGTGGGACTACCTTTTCCATTTGGAAGCTTCAGTTGGTGCAAAGTGCAGTTGCGAAAGCAGACTTTAGGGCCTCTCAGATAGCCCTGTATACTGTATACTTCAGCTCCGCGAATGTCACTGGCTACCAGTCTGCTTCCGAGCGCAGTTCATGCTGTTGGTTAATGCCATAGGTCCAGGCTATCTGATGAACCATCTCATCCCACTAGGACAAGTCCATCCTACTCATGCCAGCAGAGAAGGTCCCATTGTTAAAGAACTCTGACTATTGGGATCCAAAAGAGCCTCCTTTGCCACAGCACCCACACTTTGGAACATCCTACCCTCTAGGATAAGATCTGCACCCATCTTCCTATGCTTCATCAGGAGCCCGAAGACCTGCTGATCTGGGACCAAATGGGGAAATTCCAAGCTGGAGGTGGCTGCTGGATTGAGAGCAGACTATATATATGCTTAAATTTTGTGAAGCTGTTCTAAAAATGTAAATGGTTTGTAGCTACAGCTGGTTTTAATCTATTGAGGAACTTGAAAAAACCTATATTTAGAAAACACTTCAGAATTTTAACAGATCTGAGTCCAAAAAATCTTATGAATCATAAGGCTAAACCTAGAAGCTTTTATTCAGGTGTGAAACTTGGCAATGGAGGACCATACATATACAGCCATGGACTAATTGTAAAAATACTGACTGGACACGTCAAATGTATAATCATGAATTTAGCTGTTTTCTGCAATCATATATTTTTATCTATACATACAGTACATCACATTGAATAAGACCTAGAGCAGTGATGGCGAACCTTTTAGAGACAGAGTGCCCAAACTGCAACCCAAACCCCACTTATCGCCGGGTGCCGGATGGACATGGCCCACTGGGTGGCTGTGGCCTACTGGGTGGGCATGGCCAGATCGATGTAACTTGCATCAGGGGCGCTTGTGCGGGCCTGGGCAGGACTGAGGGTCTCTGGCGGAGTGGGGGTTGGGACCAGGGCGAACGCCGGGGCATGGTCCACTGGAGGAGCCTCACTGAGTCTCAAGCCATGCAGGGGGCCCCTGGACAGTAGCACAGACTGCCTGGAGGCCTGGGTAACGGAGGTCAAGCGCCCAGCCTGGCCCTTGAGCTCCCACGGCACCAGGACTCCACAGTCCTGCCTACCCTAGCCGCACTTCCCTGAGGGGGTGCCCATCTGCGTTTACCTTCTCCTCAAGACTACTGCTTCTGTGCTCACTCTCTTTGGCCAGGTTGCTCATGGTGGATGCAGGAGGGCAAAGTGCGTAGGTCAGAGGGAAGCCCACTCCCTCTCCATGCAAGGAGACCTGGCTTTGTAACCAAAGCATCCTCAGCAATAGGATGGGAGACCACCAGGAGATGGCGAAAGGGCAACAGGGCTGCTGGTGGCCAAGTGCTAAGGCAGGACTTCCCTCACACCCTCCCTCCCTCTTATTCCAATCTCCTTCCTTCCTTCCTTCCTCCCTCCCCTCCTTCCTTCCCTGCCTCCCTCCCTCCCTCCTTTTCATTCCCATCTCCTTCCTTCTTTCCTTCCCTTTCTTGTTGTTTCCCTCCCCTCCTTCCTTCCTTCCCTCCCTCCCTGTGTCCAGGAAGGATGGAGGGGGAGATGTTGGCACCATCTCAAAGAAAAAGAGTTGGAAGAGACCTTTGAGGTCTTTAGTCCAAGCCACTGCTCAAGCAGGGGACGTATACCATTCCAGACAATGGAATATCCAATCTCTACTTAAAAGCCTCCAGTGATGGAACATCCACAACTTCTGAAGGCAAGCCTTTTCACTGGTTAGTTGTTTTCACAAGTTTCCTTAGTTCTAGGCTGGTTTTCTTCTTGATTAGTTTCCATCTATTATTGCCTTCTGATGCTTTGGAAAATAGGTTGACCCCTTCTTTTCTGTGGCAGCCCATCAAATATTGGAACACTGCTATCATGTCACCACCCCTAGTCCTTTTCATTAAGCCAGACATACCCACAAACACTTGTCATGTTTTAGTCTCCAGCCCCCTAATCATCTATGTTTACCATCCATTTAGACCAGGTGGTCCCCCTGGTTTGGTTTATAGAACAGTGGCCATGAGCAGAGCCTTCTCAGAGATAGCATCCCAATTATAGAACTTTCTCCCAAGGAAAATATGAACAGTGCATCCCTTACCCATTTAGAGGCAACTCCTGTTCAGCCAGGCATATGTAGAACAACACCACATTTTATGGTCAAACAGCACTACTACTATTTTTCTTTCATAAAATACACACTTTTAATATTGTTTTAAGTAGTGCTGGTGATGCTTTACAATAGCTGTCTTTGAGAGTTTTTTTGTAAACCACTCTGGATTTCTCAGAAACATTTAATTTTGAATTAGATGTTGATTTAATAAATTAGGCAGAAGAAACATGTTTAAATACATCTAAATCCCACAGACCTACTGCCTCCTAGGCACAGACTGCAGAGAAAATAAGGCATTGCATTTCTAGCCAGCATAGCCACAGGATTATGGGAACTGTGGTCCATGACAGGGCTTTTCAACTGGTGGTATGCGTACCCACTAGTAGTACATTAGCATCTGGCAGGTGGTACGCATACAACAGGTTGAACAGCACTGTAAAAAAAAAGTGTAGAAGTGAATGAGGTGAAGCGGCAGCAGCGCCACACAGGCTTGTGTGGAAGTCAGCTGGAACTGCCCAGGATCGGCATGTACAGCTCTAGCTGATTGGAGATGGCAGACGGCCTCAACCAGTCTTCAGGCAGAGATTCAGCTGGAGCTACGAGAGGCATTGCCTGGGTCCTGGTGAAGGGGAGAAAAGAGATGATATTAAAGGGGGTGAGGGAGCTTCCGGTTCCAGGTCGCAGCGCTGCAGTCGACTGAAGAGACTCATCTCTTCTCCGGCCGAGTTTCCCCCACAGGTAGACCCTTGATTGGGTCGAAAGTCGCACTGGAGGGGCGACCACCATTGAGGAGGCTGCCTGTTTGACTGCAGAGGGGCATCAGCACCCTCTGAAGTCCAAGCGAGCTCCTTTGGGCCGACGGAGTAAAGATTGGTCAGTAAAATGGCCGATCACTTAGCTGCACCAGCCATAAGCCACAAGAACATCTAAGCGATGGCATCTTCCACCAGCAAAGCTTGCCAAGATGTTCCAGAACAATTTGCCAACATGCTGAAAATGTAAAAAAGTACATGGAATATATTATCATTTATGGTGGACATGCCCAGTTGCAAAAAAATACTGGTCTACAATAAGAAAATTGATCGAAGAAATAATAGACCAACCCGTAGACTGGAAACCAGAGATCTTTTTGTTGGGTATTTTAAACAGAAAATATAGTAAAGAAATATGATACTTAATTTTACATATAATAATGGCAGCAAGAATAGCATATGTACGGTGCTGGAAAAAATGAGAATATACCATCAGAGGAAGAAGTAATAAGAAAAATCCTGGACTGTGCTGAGATGGACAAATTAACAAAAGAGATAAAAGAAAAGGAAGACACAGAGTATTATATAACATGGAACAAGTTGTATGTCTGGTTGGAGACTAGAAATAATAGAGGAGAATAAATATGGAAAGGTCAAAAGTGAAAATATGTGTATAATAATGTATAATAATAATAATATGAATTATTCTTAGTAAGAAGTAGAACATGAAGAAAGAAAATGTAAATAAGAAATAACGGGGCTATAATGACAAGTATTCTAAAGAAGAATAAGGGGGGAAATGTAAATAATAGATTACCGTTACTCAATTGCTGTAAAAAAAAAGGAGGAGTATATATTGTGTGTGTATGTGTGTTATGTTTTGCTTTGCTTTGTTTTGTCTTGTTGGTTAAAAATAATTTTTTTAAAAAAAAAAATCTAAGCGAAATAGAACCACCATGGAAGATTCGGTGAGACTTTTCCTTGCCTCTCCCTTTCCTATTTACTCCTGTGAAAAGCCTTTGGAATCATTTCCCTATCTTTTTAAAGCGGCTTTGTTGATAGGGGAAGAAAACCCTTGGAACAAAAAATAATAATTTTAATTTTTTCAATGGTTGATTTTTGAATCTTTGGAAGTCCTAAAATCCCTGTTATAGAAACTTAATATGCTAGCAATTTGGAGAATTTTTTTCTATTTTCTACTATTTTTATAACTAAAGAAAAGAAGGAAAGAAGAAAAAGAGGAAAGAAATTATTTTTATTGGGGGTCTGGAAAGACTGAACAACTGGTTAACCCTCTGGGGACATGTTGTGGTGATGTCTCTCTCCTCCAGGGGGGCTGCTGGGGAGGGGGCCACAGGGGAGGCGGGGCTGGGGTAACGGCTTGCCCACAGAGAGGGCTCTGCATGCCACCTCTGGCACGCATGCCATACATTCGCAACCACTGCTCTATATCTTCTCCAAAAGATAGAGATTTGTGCACATGGCAAGTTCAGGAATCAATATGATTTATAAATGAGGTGCCTACCTTTACAGCAGTGGTTCTCAACCTGTGGGTTGGGACCCCATTTGGGGTCGAACAACCATTTCACGGGGGTCGCCAAACAAGCCTGTCCGCCATTTTCCCCCCTTTTCTTTGGCCATGCTCCTGGCACCTGGTGATGTATAAGTGGTTGGGGGTCACCACAACATGGGGAACTGTATTATGGGGTCGCAGCATTAGAAAGGTTGAGAACCACTGCTTTACAGGACCTAGTTCTAAATGATAATAATTTATTCCAATAATATAAATAATAATAATAATAATAGTAGTAAAGTTGGAAGGGATCTTGGAGGTCATCTAGTCCAATCCCCTGCTCGGGCAGGAAACCCTACACCATTTCGGACAAATGGCTGTCCAGTCTCTTCTTAAAAACTTCCAGTGTTGGAGCATTTACTGCTTCTGGAGGCAAGCTGTTCCACTGATTAATTGTTCTCACTGTCAGGAAGTTTCTACTTAGTTCTAGGTTGCTTCTCTCCTTGATGAGTTTCCACCCGTTGCTTCTTGTCCTGCCTTCAGGTGCTTTGGAAAATAGCTTAATTCCCTCTTCTATATGGCAGCCCCTGAGGTATTGGAATACTGCTATCATGTCCCCCCTTGTCCTTCTCTTCGTTAAACTAGACATACCCATTTCTAGCAACCGTTCCTTATATGTTTTAGCCTCCAGTCCTCTAATCATCTTTGTTGCTCTTCTCTGTACTCTTTCTAGAGTCTCAACATCTTTTTTACATCGTGGTGACCAAAACTGGATGCAGTATTCCAAGTGTGGCCTTACCAAGGCATTGAAGAGTGGTATTAATACTTCACGTGATCTTGATTCTATCCCTCTGTTAATGCAGCCTAGCACTGTGTTGGCCTTTTTGGCAGCTGCAGCACACTGCTGGCTCATATTTAAGTGATTGTCTACTAGGACTCCGAGGTCCCTCTCACAGTTACTGCTATTGAGCATGGTGCCACCTATGCTGTACTTGTGCATTTGGTTTTTCTTGCCTAAATGTAGAACCTTGCTTTTGTCACCATTGAATTTCATTTTGTTAGTTAGTGCCCAGTGTTCAAGTCTGTCCAGATCCTTCTGTATCTTAAGCCTGTCTTCTGGAGTGTTGGCTATTCCTGCCAGCTTGGTGTCGTCTGCAAATTTGATGAGTTCCCCATCTATCCCTTCATCCAAATCGTTGATGAAGATGTTGAAGAGTACTGGGCCCAGAACAGAGCCCTGGGGCACCCCACTACACACTTCCCTCCATATAGATGCAGTTCCATTGAGGACCACTCGCTGAGTACGGCCGGTCAGCCAGCTACGGATCCATCTGGTGGTGGTTCTGTCTACCCCACATTTTTCTATCTTGTCAAGTAGTAGGTTGTGATCTACTTTATCAAATGCCTTATTGAAGTCCAAGTAAATTATGTCCACAGCATTCCTCTGATCCACTAATTTTGTCACTTGGTCAAAGAATGCAAAAAGATTTGTCTGGCATGATCTATTTTTGACAAACCCATGTTGGCTTTTAGTAATGACTTTGTTTGCCTCTAGGTGTTCGTTGATTCGTTGTTTGATTATCTTTTCCAGGATCTTCCCAGGTATTGAGGTCAGGCTGATAGGTCTGTAATTTCCTGGATCCATTTTTTTTCCTTTTTTGAAGATGGGAACTACATCAGCTCGTTTCCAGTCCTCTGGTAGTTCCCCTGTGTTCCAGGATCTTTGAAAAATATAGTTCAGTGGCTCCGATATCACATCTGCCAGTTCCTTGAGAACTCAGGGGTGTAATCCATCTGGTCCTGGCGATTTGAACTCATCTAGGCTGGACAGGTGGTCCCTAACCATTTTCTTGCCTATCTTAACTTGTGTTTCTGTTTTGTTTTTTATGGCACTATTTTAGATGATGGCTTCTGGCAGGTATTCACATGAACATATTTGTTGGAGGGAAATCTCAGAAGTGATTCAGCTGAATTTATCAATCTTACAAGATAAGAAAATTAGGTATTATACAACACTTATTTCTGTGGTTTTAATTTTTCCAACTATCTGTTTCCCTTTTGGGGAACCATCTTATATTTAATATAGTTTTCATTTAGTGGTATGTGTGGGTTTTCACATGCCCAGCGGGTCTCCCATGAGTGTAGAAGAACAGACACCCTGGTTTCCTCGGGATGGGAGCCCCGAACAAAGCCGAAGCATCCCTTTTATTGTGTTACCAGAAGGCGGGTCTATATGCACCTTGTGATCACATCACACCAATCACATTTGTTATAACACAGCATATTAGCATATTGCACGTGCTACAGCTTTGTTTTGCTCACACCCCTATACAGCTGTTACACCTGGCACCAACAACGCACCAAACACATTCCTTTGCACTGCACGGCACTTCTTGGTATTCTCCCAAACTTTTTGACTTCCGACTTCCTTATACCTTGGCCTACTGCAGCTGATGACTCAGCCTAGCAGGCCAGATAATCCAATAACTCCAACATCATGCTTTCAGATAATATGGCAAAGTATCAAGCAGAGGAAATGGAAAAGGAAGATAGAAGAGGGAGACAGAGTTGACTTAATATTTTTCAAAATGATATTATGTAATCTAATTCTACAATTTTACCCTAGTCAACATTCTATAGGTGTTTTGATAGGACAGAATATTTTCATACTGATTGTGGGAAGAATTTATAAATTTTGTAATTTTATTATGAATATTGTATAGAGAAATATGTTAAATGACCCAGTCTCCACAAAGTTATTCATTTACAGCCTCCAAAATCCTTTAAACTACACAAACATAAGAATTAAACACTTATTTCAAATTGTAAATACACAACTCACAGAACTCAACACAATGTAAACATAATTATAATGCTCACTGTTCAAACCAAGACACTCAATCCACGTCTCTTGCTATACTCAATCCTTTCTCTGGAGTCAACATGTAAATATGCCCACACCCCTCAAGTGTCACTCTAGAATCAGCACCTACATACTTCCACACCCAAAACAAGTCTTCTTTATCCCATTTTCTCTGCAACTGCCCAAAGGCAAACAAACCTCTTTGTTTTGGGGAATAAATAATTCTCCTTTCCTCACAGCTGTCTGGATGTCATATTTATTTATTCTTGCGCAACTCTGACTTAATTTAGCACCCCAAATTATTCTTAATTTGGCACCCCAAATTATTCTTCTGATTAGATAATATGGCTCCAATTAATATGAAGAACAGAGAGATGTGATAACAAATGATTTCAATAAATAAAGCATATTAACGTCTTATAATTTATTTCATGATGGAATGTTCTGTTCCTAGAAAAGATTTTCTTCAGTGTGATATTAACATGATCAGTATAAATTGTTTCCTGTTGAATAAGTTTATTGTTTCTCTTCCTACATCTCCAATGTGTAGGAAGACACACACACCCCCGAGAAAGAAATATTTTGGGGGATATATAAAAAAAGCAGAATATATTTTCCCAAAGGATTAATAGAAAATCTTAGGCAGGACCCCCTCCAGTCTCTCTGCCCCAGCCAGAAACTCAGCAGGCCAGGTTTGTAGAAATGCAGGTTTGATAATCCTTTCAGAAAGACAGGAGCCAGGAAGCTTGGAGCTAATGGGATTAGAAAAAGGAAGATCCCTAAACCAACAATCCCTCAACCAAAAAAATCCAACACAGGAAGGACATAGCCATCAGCCACAGCCCCAGGGAAGCAGGACATGACATTTAGGACATAATAGGATTAACCCAGCATCACTAGAATACCAAAAGGGCACAATGAACTTCAAGTCAAAGTTCATGCCAAAGGAACAGGAACAGGAACAATTCCAAACACAAAAGCCCAAGAAGGTATAAAAACCCACCACTCACAGCTCCATGTGGTCAGCCATCCCAGAAACTTGCTGCTGTCACTGAAGTTTCTGGCAACTAAATAAACAAGAACCTTCTTTCTAAAGCAGTCTCCATTTTGTTTATTCCCGGCTTAGATTGAACCCTGATAACGATTTTTCTTTCAACAATTGACTCGCTCTTTCCAGTTCTCCCATCATCTGTTGAATCAAAATTATAAATTTAATGAATGTACCCTGCATTTTAGCGACAATGATTTTTTATACAATGTGCAGAATTCTACTTTAGTTTGCAATTTCACCTATGACATTTATCAGGTTATGCCATTTGCTATTCTTTTCCCCAAAATACATTTTGTTTGGAAAATACAAATAAGTTTCAAGTGTGTGGACAGTTCAGAATGTGTGTGTAAAATATGCTGGGATATTTGTGCTGAACCTCTAGGTGCCAATACTGTATTCAATTTCCCTGTTGAAATAATTTTTGTTTTTATTGTGAAACCTCATGGAACTGCAAGGAAATTACAGGCAACAGGGAGAAAGCAGAGCTGCTTAACTCATATTTTGTGTCAGTCTTCACACAAAAAGAAACCATAGCTGACACAGCAAAAAAAAAAAAACACTGCAAAAAACACACTAGAAACTAAAATTAAAATAAGCAAGAAAATGATAAGAGAACTCCTACACGACCTTGACAAGTACAAATCACCGGGACCCCAGAGATTACATCCCAGAGTTCTGAAAAAGCTGGCAAATGTTATCTCAGAACCGCTGCACCACATCTTTCATAAATCCGGGAGCACTGGGGAAATACCCGAAGACTGGAAAAGGGCTGATGTTATCCCCATCTTCAAGAAAGGAAACAAAACAGACCCAGGAAACTATAGACCAATCAGCTTAACATCAATACCTGGAAGATCCTAGAAAAGATAATCAAAAAACAGATTATGTGGACAACTAGAACAAAACAAAGTCATAACTAGTAGCCAGCACGGGTTTGTTGAAAACAGATCATGCATAACTACTCTTATATCATTCTTCAATAAAGTGACTAAACTAGACGACCAGTGGATATAGTATACTTAGATTTCAGTAAGGCATTTGACAAAGTAGACCACAACCTATTAATTGACAAGCTAAAAACAGGTGGAATAGACAACATCACCACCGGATGGATCTGTTGCTGGCTGACAAACTGCACTCAATGAGTAGTCCTCAATGGCACTACATCCACGTGGAGAGAAGTAAGCAGTGGGGTACCACAAGGTTCCATCTTAGGCCAAGTACCCTTCAACATCTTCATAAATGACTTAGATGAGGGAATTGAAGGGGAACTAATCAAATTTGCAGATGACACCAACTGGCAGGAATAGCCAACACCCCAGAAAACAAACTCAGAATCCAAAAAGATCTTGGCATATTTGAACAATGGGCCCTATCCAGTAAAATGAGTTTCAACGTGGAGAAAACCAAATTCCTATACTTAGGCAGGAAAAACTAAAAGCACGAATAAAGATTGGGCGACACCCGGTTTAAAAGCAGTAACTGTGAGAGGGACCTTGGAGTCCTAGTGGACGATCACTTAACTATGAGCCAGCAGTATACAGAAGCAATAAAAAAAAACCTAATACAATCCTGAGTTGTATAAACAGAGGCATAGAAACAAGATCACACAAAGTACTAGTACTGCTTTACAAAGCCCTAATAAGACCACACTTGGAATACTGCAGCCAATTTTGGTCATCATACCATAAAAAAGATGTTGAGAGTTTAGAAAGAATTTAGAGTAGAGCAACTAAGATGATCAAAGCCCTGGAGGCTAAAACATATGAAGAACGGCTGCAGGACTTGGATTTGGCTAGTCTAAAGAAAAGAAAAAATATGGGAGACATGATAACAGTATTCCAGTATTTGAGGGGCTGCCACAAGGCAGAAGGGGTCAGATTGTTCACCAGAGCACCAGAAGGACAAGAAACAATGGTTGGAAACTGATCGAGAGAAGCAACCTGGATTTAAGGACTGACAATAAGGACAATCAACCAGTGGAACATATTGCATCCAGAAATCGTGGGCGCCCTATCACTGGAGATCTTTAAGAAAAGACTAGACATCACCTGTCTGAGATGGTGTAGATTCTCCTGCTTAAGCAGGGGGCTGGACTAGAAGACCTCCAAGGTCCCTTCCAGCTCTATTCTATTATAATTAACTTTGCCTACACAGTAGCAAAACTGCCATTATAAAGATTTTGGCTGTAACCTGATATAGGATACTTTGCATAAATTCTATTCTTATTTGAGCAGCCCATCCAGGGCGCATTAGCCGTTCAAACAATTCGCCTCAAACTCTCCCTCTCAAGAAAAGAACCTAGGTGAAAGTGATGAGAGAAAAGCTGTAGCCACGTCCCGCCATTTTAACTCGCGTCACAAACACTTACACCGAACTCTGGCTACTGCGGCTACGTGCGCTGGGAGCTTTACGCGTGCGCAAAGAAGGAAACCCTCCTGGCACGTGATTCCCGCAGCTTTATGACAAATGAAGTTCACCTGATAATTCCCGAAAGCAGTACGTGGCTCTGAATTTCTAGGAAAGCCGTGAATTATAAATTATAAATAAATCTGGGAGGTGGGCTACAGGTGCTCTCAGTGGCAGCCTCTTGTGCACTTTGAAAGTCAAAAGTCGTACAACGGGAACGGTAGTTCCTCAAAGACGTGTGACAAGTCACATGCCAATGTGGGTAGTTTGACTCCGTTTCCCAGGATTCCTTGCGGTGGCTACCAACACGGATTTCGGAGGAAACCTATGGGCGGAGCCGCGAGGGGTGCCGGGAAAGCGAGGAGCATGGCTGCTGTATTAGTGTTCTCATCCCCTTTCCCCAAACTCCGTCGTTTTCTCCGAAACTGCTGGGCGCAGCTTGGCGGCCACGCAGGGCCATGGGGTAAGGTTTGGAATGTGCTGTTCATCAGGATAGCCCTCAAGAACTCTGGAAAATTTCCACGGTCATCTTCCAGCTACGCGTTGGAGGTGCTTGCGTCGCTCAATCCAAGGGGGGAATTGAAAGCTTTTTAGAAAACTGCTTTCTTATGAACTCCGTGCGAATTTGCTAGTCAAAGTAACTTCGGCTTTGGTGCTTGGATCTCCTTTTGTCTGTTTGCTTCCTTGCCTGTTGCTCTTTTTCTGTATTTTCCCAAAGCAAAAAAGCATAGTAGGGACAAAATGCAGGGAGATGATTTCCTTTGCTTTTTGTTTGTAATCTCGCTTTATAGTTTTTTTAAAAAAAACGATTGTTCGTTAAATGGAGGATGGCGTTAAAGCTGAAAGTAGTGCATTCTTATAATATACTCCAAAACTGTTTATATCCCTCGTGCGTTGTTCATAGTTTTAACATGTAGAAACAAAATATTGTTGTTGTTAATTGCGAAGTCGTGTCCGACCCATCGCGACCCCATGGACAACGTTCCTCCAGGTCTTCCTATCCTCTACCATCTTCTGAAGTCCATTTAAGTTCACACCTACTGCTTGAGTGACTCCATCCAGCCACCTCATTCTCTGTCGTCCCATTCTTCTATTGCCCTCAATCTTTCCCAGCATTAGGCTCTTCTCCAGTGAGTCCTTCCTTCTCATTAGGCGGCCAAAGTATTTGAGTTTCAACTTCAGGATCTGGCCTTCTAAAGAGCAGTCGGGGTTGATCTCTTCTAGGACTGACTGGTTTGAACGCCTTGCAGTCCAAGGGACACGCAGGAGTCTTCTCCAGCACCATAGTTCAAAGGCTTCAATTCTTTTGCGCTCAGCCTTTCTTATGGTCCAACTTTCACAGCCATACATTGCAACTGGGAAAACCATGGCCTGGACTATACGCACTTTTGTTGGCAGGGTGATGTCTCTGCTTTTTAGTATGCTGTCTAGATTTGCCATAGCTTTCCTCCCCAGGAGCAAGCGTCTTTTAATTTCTTGGCTACAGTCCCCATCTGAGGTGATCTTTGAGCCCAGAAAAATAAAATCTGTCACTACCTCCATTTCTTCCCCATCTATTTGCCAGGAGTTGAGAGGGCCGGATGCCATTATTTTGGTTTTCTTAATGTTGAGTTTCAACCCAACTTTTGCACTCTCCTTCTTCACCCGCATCAAGAGGCTCTTTAGTTCCTCTTCACTTTCTGCCATTAGAGTGGTATCATCTGCATATCTTAGGTTGTTGATATTTCTCCCGGCAATCTTAATTCCAACTTTTGATTCATCTAGGCCTGCCTTTCTCATGATGTGCTCTGCATATAAGTTAAATAGGCAGGGCGACAGTATACAGCCTTGCCGGACTCCTTTTCCAATTTTGAACCAATCAGTGGTTCCGTGTCCGGTTCTCACTGTTGCTTCTTGACCCGCATATAAGTTTCTCAAGAGACAAATGAGATGGTTTGGTACTCCCATCTCTTTAAGAACTTGCCACAATTTGTTGTGATCCACACAATCAAAGGCTTTAGCATAGTCAATGAAGCAGAAATAGATGTTTTTCTGGAACTCCCTAGCTTTCTCCATGATCCAGCGTATGTTGGCAATTTGATCTCTAGTTCCTCTGCCTCTTCGAAATCCTGCCTGTACTTCTGATAGTTCTCGATCTACATACTGCTGGAGTCTAGCTTGTAGGATTTTAAGCATAAGTTTACTAGCATGTGAAATGAGTGCAATGGTGCGATAGTTTGAACATTCTTTGGCATTGCCTTTCTTTGGAATTGGAATGTAAACTGACCTTTTCCAATCCTGTGGCCACTGTTGAGTTTTCCAAATTTGCTGGCAAATTGAGTGTAGCACTTTTACTGCATCGTCTTTTAAGATTTTGAATAGCTCAGCTGGAATACTGTCAGCTCCACTAGCTTTGTGGTTGCTCAGATTTTCTAAGGCCCATTTCACTTCACATTCTAGGATGTCTGGTTCGAGGTCAGTGACCATCTCATTGTGGTTATCTGGGATGTTAAGCTCATTCTTGTATAGTTCTTCTGCGTAGTTTTGCCATCTCTTAATCTCTTCTACCTCTGTTCGGTCTCTGCCATTTTGGTCCTTTATCATGCCCATCTTTGCATGAAACGTTCCCTTCATATCTCCAATTTTCTTGAAGAGATCTCTGGTCCTCCCTATTCTGTTGTTTTCTTCTATTTCTTTGCACTGTTCATTTAAGAAGGCATTCTTATCTCTTCTAGCTACTCTCTGGGATTCTGCATTCAATTGGGTGTATCTTTCTCTTTCTCCCTTGCCTTTCGCTTCCCTTCTTTCCTCAGCTATTTGCAAAGCTTCCTCAGACAGCCATTTTGCTTTCTTGCATTTCTTTTTCTTTGGGATGGTTTTAGTTGCTACCTCTTGTATAATGTTGCGAACTTCCACCCATAGTTCTTCAGGCACTCTGTCTATCAGATCTAATTCCTTAAATCTATTTGTCACCTCTACTGTATATTCATCAGGAATATGATTTAGTTCATACCTGAGTGGCCTAGTGCTTTTCCCTACTTTTTTCAATTTAAGCCTAAATTTTGCAACGAAAAGCCCATGATCTGAGCCACAGTCAGCTCCTGGTCTTGTTTTTACTGACTGTATAGAGCTTCTCCATCTTTGGCTGCAGAGCACATAGTCAACCTGATTTCTATGTTGATGTCCATGTGTAGAGCCGTCTCTTGGGTTGTTGGAAAAGAGTGTTTGTTATGACCATCGTATTCTCTTGACAAAATTCTATTAGCCTGTGCCCTGCACTTGTTTTCAGGGCTGCCTAATTCGTCTTAACTGTTTGAAATTACTATCATAGTCATTAGACCTTATGTTAACATTATATTATGTTAATATAATTATTTTTAATTGTTCAAGAAATATGTTGAAGTTCCCTGCATGAGTCCGAAAGCTTGGAAGACTAAGCCTCTGGTCCTGGTGACCGATCCAGATCAGATGTTGAAGAGTGCTGCTAATTTCAAATGTCGTTGGTTTAAAATCTAAATGCTAGTCAGTTTAGAATGAACCCCCTTAAAAAAGGCTTTAAACTATTTTAAATAGACTAAGATATGAAACTATTTGAGTTGATATCTTTTTCTTTAGCGCCTGCTTTAGCAGTACAAGCTCCAGATTCTTTACTCAATCCTGTGGAAGAGAAAACAGAGTATTTTGAAAACCCCAGCTTTTTAGACAGCATACTTTGGATGCCAGCTCCAAAGTCAAGGCGAACAATTGAAGTGAATCGCACCAGACGAAGGAATTCTAACCATCTTCTAAAAATAAAGGTAAATTATTAAGTGTCCCTGTGCAGAAAATTGGACTTTGTTTAAATGTTTTGTTCTTTGCTATCAATAGGAGTTGGCAAATAAGTTCAGAAATATAAATGAACATTTGTTTCAATGGGTTTGCTGTGAATGTATCGTATAAACCTGGGCAGTTTGTGGCTGCATGAAATCCCTGCCAGCTGCAAATGTAGAACCAAAATTGGTTGCAAAATAGCTGTATTTTAGTGTGGTTTTGCTTTTATTTTGTTTACCTTAATTTCTAACCCCATGGAAAACAAATTGTTCCAGCTAGACAACTATCCATCTAACTACCATGGCAACTATTTTCTGCCTCGTTTCAGGCTGATTTTTAAGTAGGAACAAGAGATTCCTGGGAAATGAATCATTTTATACCCACCCTTGAGGTTCTGTCCTTGGAAAGTTTAAAGGCTGAGACAGAGCAAATTGCCTTTCAGGGGCATCATGCTGCCCTTCATATGCTCTCCCAAAAGTAAATAAATAAATAAATAAATAAATAAATAAAACAGGCTAAAATAAATTTACTCCTACTGCTTGATCAAACAGCCACCTGCAGCCCTGTAGCACGTCAAGGGTCCGAGATCCAGATCCAACCCTTCAAATATTGCCTGTTCCTACTAAAAATTAAAATATTAACTTGCAGACATACTTTGATTTCTACATAGCATTGGACAGTACTATTCTTGTTGCATTGTTTTTATTATTTTGATATGTTGTTTAATCCTATTTTGCACTCCATTTTATTGTTACGTTAATGAAAAAAGTTAAGAATTTTTATAATTATTCTCTGCATTTTAAGATTCCTTTTTTTCTTTTAGAGAAACATAGATATTTGTCCTGAATGTGGCAACCTGAAAGAGAAGCATGTTCTTTGTGGCTATTGTTACGAAAAAGTTAAACAGGAAACTTATGCCATAAGAAATCAAATTAGATTATTGGAAAATGGACCACATAAGGCTCCCATTATAGAAAGTATTGTGCTCTATACAGGAGAAAAACCCAGAAATGAAGATGAAGGCAAGCGAATTATCGAAAGGAACAAGAAACGTCCATCTTGGTTCACATTGGACTAAACAGACATCAAAGTGGAATGGTTGATTCCCTTATACAAATACTAGTTGGATAGTAATACATCCAGAAGACTGTACTGTACTTTATACTGTAGTTGCTCAAGCATGCTATTTGCAGGACTATGTGTGTGAGTGTTTGTACTTTTTTTTAAAGAGTCTGGGTTTTCTTTTGTCCTTTAACATTCATCCAGAATTTAATTCTACATTTGGAATCTGTATGGATAGGGGAATTGGCTGTTAACGTAGTAATACCATAAGCTTATAGTAACCTGTCTTAAATAAGTTATCATTTGCAGAAGTGGGATGTAACTGCATACAAAGATGGATTGTATGTTATTTCAAA